GGGTTGTGATGGGTAAAACAGATTGTGTGAAGTATGCCGGCTCGCACGTTCTTGATGTTGTGATGGCTTCTTATGGTGTGTGAGGTAAATTGTTGAGCGTTTTCTCCACCGCCGCCGCCAACGCTTCCACCACTGTCTACAGAGATTAGATTTACATCATTGTAGACATCGAATACTGGCTCTTCGTCGTCTTCATAGACATCGAAGATTGGATCTCCATAGATCTCATTGTAGAGCTCCATGAATGAAAGATAGAAGGTGAGTGTTTTTGATACCACAAAGTGGTCCAGATCAAAAACAGAAGATGGAGGATAAGTGTGGTTTTGATACCACAAATTGTGGTCCGAATCAGAACTGAAACTGCTCAGATACCAAGTTGATATATCTTAATTAAAAGATCGACTAATGTTATCAAGAACAAAAACAAAATACAATCCTTCAATTTTCTCTTCGTATCTTTTTTTTAGAACATTCGCGAGTTTTAAATATACAAAGAAACTGACGAGAGACAAAGTTATGGATTCTACAAACTAGGAAAATGGGGTAATAGAGAAAAGGAATATACAGTTCAATAATTATAAGAAATAATAATACAATAAACCATACTGGTCTTGTTGATTCAATCGTACCGGTGGTTTACGTTGGTTACGATCTCATCGTATAAACATTAATTAACCATTGGCTAACCACTGAACTAAATGGAATTTTACATTTAGAAATTAGAATCAATGTTTAATGTTTCACTATTAGCTAATCTAGCGCTTAAGAAAAGATTAGTATCTCACCATTATCGAATTGGTTGGACTAAAAATTGTCGGTTTTAAGAAAATATTTACCGATCATGAGTAATTTAGTTTAGACTAACCATTTATCTTCATGTGTAAATTAATTTAAGCATATCATGTAGAATCGAGTCTTAGTTTTGTTTTTTTATTAGTTGGGCTGAGTCTAAACCCATAGCAATTTGATTTGTGATGCCTATGAATTTGATATACTTTAGAAAAACATATTAAATGCATATGATTTCGATCATACATTTGTGATGTTATGTTATATATAAAGTTTGATTAGTAACATAAAACGGGTGATGTTATGTTATATATAAAGTTTGATTAGTAACATAAAACCGTATATATTTTTTGATGGCACGGATAATGATAAAAAATGATAGTGCAGTTGAAACAGTACAATAAAAAATAGAGTTACCGCATCTCGTAACGCTATCTCTTTACTGTTCTGTTGATTAATTCAAAAAGTTGTACAACGTTATAATTTAGAGCGATAGTCTTAAGCTATATACGTATAATATTATATGTCTTCAAATTAAGCGACATAACATACAATGCTGCTGAAGCACTATAATAGTCATCAAATTTTTTGATGTAAAATGGGATTTGTGTTATCCAAAATAATATTTTCCTTCACAAAGTCATCGTTTGCCATTTTTTTTTTATTGGTCACGATCGTTTGCCAAATTTTAATCTTCATTTTTTTTTTTGTTTAAAGAAAAAACTAAAACACCCACAAGGTTTATGTATTAATGGAGGAAAAAGAAACAGCAACAATTGTCTACACAATTTATTGAAACGACAAGCATTTTATGAACCAAAAAAGCATTACAACTTCTTATGGAAGCATGAAACACGTGAGTAGGCTTACGCTCACCAAACCAATCACGTTTCGTTTCCACTTCTGTACCCTAAAAGCTCGAATCTGTCTGCAAATTAAAACAAACAAACATTTCAGTTTAAAACTCTGTTTTACAAATAAATCACATTTACATAATATGATTATTTATTTTTATTAATTTCTCACCAGATTATCATGTCCAGTTGCACAGGTGGGTCTTCTAGGGGGAAGTTGCTTGCGAGGCGTTCTCTGGAAATAAAATAAACTCACGGTTAATAATTCAGACTTAAGAGTACTAATTACTAGCTTAAGTAAAGATTAAACGTTACCTGTAATTTAGGTCTTAGTTTTTCTATTGCCGCTATTGTTCTCTCATCTATAATTGCTTCTTGCTGTAGAACATCAATGTATAAATAATACAAAATTATAAATACATTCACGTGACAACAAAAATATATCAAAATAATCCATTAAAATATCCCGATTGGATAAAAATGAATATACCTTGTGTAAAGCCCAATCTGCTGAATCAAAGAAAGCACGTTTATGATCCTGCTTTGGTTACAAATTCGTTAATTAATAACAACAAATACGAATATATAAAAATGTGGGTTATTTAAAAGTTTTAAAGATAAATCACCTTCGAGATAAGAGGCTTTTTCTTTGGTACAAGTCCTCCATATTTATTTGCACCAGAAGTAGACTAAGGACCCA